AGACAAACTGCCTCTGGAAGGCTGGGTTCTAGTAGTTGACATCACTGTACCATGCACACATCTAACTATATGTTCACATAGTAGTAGGAGTTTAACTTATGTTCATTGGGTAAATTGTCCCTCACTTTCTTGAAAGTGACTTCATTTTTTGTTGCTTTTGCAACCCAGATAACCACTTGAGCTGAGAGTTATCTGTAAGAACTATAGAATAAGTTGTGCTATGAAATTAAAAACACCTCACCCCATGTTGATATAGTTAGAAAGTTTATGGTCTGAGAAAATCTGTGCTTTTTAAACCTCAGAGGGCAGGTGTATTAACAAACTAAAGAATTTTCAAATAAATGAAGAATTCCATTACCTCACTATTACTGTTGATGAATTGGCCTCTGATGACACTTAAGCATCAAAACACAGTGTCTTTTCAGGTGAGAGACTGATGAACGATTTTATTAACTTAGAAAAGTCTTATGAAAACAAACTGCTGAACTCTCCTAGTTTATTATTTGGATTATGCTCTATATTAGTAGTGGTGAACCCACAACATGCATGCCACAGCAGGCTGTTTGTATCATTGAAAGCTCTAAAAGGTTCACCACCATGCCCTCCATCATGAAAAATTGCCCAGTCTTTTTTGCATAGCCTGTTTCACTGTTGTATCAAAGTGCTATTTCTTAGATGCTGAGAGTGGTTCAAAGGTAACACATTTAGAATCACAATAACAAATCCCACCAGATATTACGTAGTCAGTGTTATGTCAGATGGCTGCATTCCGCCAGACATTCTCCTGTGACAGTCAGACTCTTAAGTTTTTGAGGTCACCCATTCCATCATTTATAACCTCAGACACTCCCCTGTTAGAAAGTTTTTGTTGTTCAGTGTTGAGTAAATCTTTCTCCTTCTCTGGAATGCCCTTTTGTTTTCATTTTAACTCTTAATATATTGTGTAATCTCTTTTCTACAGTTGTCTGTCTTCTAGTGTTTTATCTCTTCCCCTTCTGTTTTTTAAATTTTTATTTTCAGTTACATAAAAATTAGCATATGTAGGAGATGTAATGTATTTTGATAAAAAGTTGACTTTTTGACCATTACACATACGTTGTGTATTGATCAAATTAGTAATGAGTGTATCTGTCACCCCATTTATTATTTTTTGCCATGAGAACATTCAACTCCTCTCTTCTAGCTGCTTTGAAATATATACATATTGTTAATTCTAGTTACCCTACTATGTAAAATATCAGAACTTATTCTTCCTATCTACTTGTAATTTATTGTCTCTTAAAATATAACATCTAGGGCCAGGGAGATGGCTCAGTAGAATAAGCATGTCCCTGGCAAGTGCAAGGGCCTGAGTTCAATCCCCAGTTCCACCAAAAAAAAAAAAAAATATATATATATATATAAAATATATATATTGGTTGTATATATATATACATCTAAACCTGTGCTCAGTAGGTTCTATTCTAAGTTGAATCTGATCTGGGCTGAGTAGAACAGAAGTCTCACTTTGCATGTAGAGGATGTATTTCCATTGATGTATCTAAAATCACATTAATTTAAAAAAAATCACATTACTTTTTTTGGTACCACTACTGCCCTTTCAGCTGCCGTTGAACATGTACCCTTTAAGCCTTGAAAGGCCTCTTCACACTTGGGTAGGTATCACTTAGCAGTCCTGTGCCTCTACAGTTGTTCTGTACAGCCAAGTGGAGAACCTCAAGTTTGTGTGTGTTCAGATTTTTCCTGTTGGAGTCAGCCTATTAAAACTGCCTTATTGAAATACTGATAGCTTGTTCAGGTCATTTAGCCTTTGTTTCCCAGCCTAACTTCTTGTTATCTGCCAGTTGATAAATATATTGTCTTTCCTCTGTCTTAGCTATTATAGAGATGTTGAGGCAGGCCAAACTGAAACTGTTTTATTATATTTTCTACAGGATCTCACTATGTAGGTTGGACTCGTAGCGATCCTTCTGTTTTCAGCCTCCCAAGTGCTGAGATTAAATACATGCCACCGCGCTCTGGCTCAGTCACTGTCTCTGTGCTCTGGGGGTGGGGCCAGCTTGACGCGCCATCTTTGTTATCTTTTTGGAACAGGGTTTCTCTATGCAGTTCAATTCCTTGAACTCACTATGTAGCCCAGGCTGGCCTCAAACACACATCAGTCCTCCTGCCTCAGCCTCCTAAGTGCCAAGGTTACAGGCATGTGCAGCCACACCCAGTTGTTCCTAGTATATTTTAATGGGCAGGATCAATTGTGTATGGAGGGGGCAGGGGAGATGGCTCAGTGGGATAAGTGCTTCCCTGGCAAGCACAAAGGCCTGAGTTCAATACCTGGTTCTGCAAAAAAAAAAAAAAAAGTCAATTGTGTATGGAGGTAGACTGTCCATTTAATTGAATATTCCATAATTATAACAAATTGTCTTTTAGAAGAATAGGGTTGCTATTTAATAACTAATGAAAGACAATAAAAATCATATGGTTATAAGAATGAATTTGGGTGTTTGAAAAGTTGATAAACATACTTGTATTCTTATATGTAACTAAATCTATTAATAAAACATAACAATTAGAGCTGGCAGATAGCTCAGCAGACTAAAGTGCCTGCTCAGGCGAGTGCAGTGGCCAGCATTCAATCCCCAACCTGCTGCGCTGGCCCCGCCCTCGGGGCACGCTGAGACAGCATTGAGACTGGGTGTGGTGGCACACACCTGTAATCCCAGCATTTGGGAGGCTGAAAACAGGAGAATCACTGCGAGTCTGATCTACATGGTGAGACCCTGTAGACCCTGAACTAAATACAAAAAATAAATAAATGAAAACATAACCATTACATTTTTATATGAGGTCCTAAACAGAAAACCCTCTAGCTTGGTTAGAGGCAATATGGTACAGAGGAAAAGGCCCCAAACTTGGCCTCATATTTATTGTTTTTATTCTGCAAGTATCTATTGAGTGCCTACTGTACTTAAGCCCTAGACATATGATGTTGAAAAAACCCTGACAGTCTTTGTCTTCTATAGAGTTTACATCTAGTAGGAGAAGTAATTTTTTTTTTTTTTCCCCCCGGAACCAGGGATTGAACTCAGGCCCTTGCACTTGCCAGGCTAGTGCACATTCTACTGAGCCATCTCCCCGGCCTGGGAGAAATAATTTGATAATTATGAAAATGTAGCCATAATACTTTCTGTGATCTATTCTGGATGAGTGTTACCCAAAAGAAATATAGTATAAACAACACATGTAATTCAGAATTTTCAGCCAGGCCTGGATTGTGCACACCTATAATTCCAGCACTGAGGAGGCTGAGGCAGGAGGTTTGAGTTCAAGGCCAGTTTGGACTACATAGTATATTCAAGGCCAGCCTGAAATACATAATGAGACTTTGTCTCAAAAAACCAAAAAGAAAAAATTTTTTTTTAAATTTTAGGGGCTGGGAAGATAGTTCAGTAGAATAAGTGCAAGCCAAAGGTCCTGAGTTCAATCCCCAGTACAGGAAAAAAAAAAAAAAGTAGCTGCATTTAACTCGCTTAAATATCCTGAAAGTAAAAATTAATAAATGAAATTAATTTCATAATTTTATTTAACTCCTTAGATCTGAAATATTATTTCAACATTTTATAGTATAAAAATATTTTATATTATTTTTCTTTTTTTGTTTGTTTGTTTGTTTGTTTTTGAGACAGGGTCTTGTGCATTTCAGGCTGGCTTTAAACTCACTTTGTAGCCCAGGCTGGTCTTGAACTCTCAGCGATCCTCCTGCCTCAGCCTCCCAGTGCTGGTGGGATTACAGGGGTGTGCCACCATGCCTGGCTTCATTTCCTTTTCTGAAGTAAATCTTTAAAATCTTTGGACTGGCTCAGTAGTGCTGAGTAATCACAGGTAGGTAGTGGTTACTATATTGGTCAGCAGAGTGTGTACTCAGCTTTAGAGACTAGTCTGTGGTGTCTAGCAAGTTAGTTGTCTTTTATCTTTAGAATTCTTCATCTGTGCTGATGTGGTGGCTCATGTGTAATCCCAGCACTTGGGAAGCTAAGGAAGAACACCATCAATTCAAGGTCAGCCTGCAGGACATAGGGAGTTCAAGGCTGGCCTAGACTGCATAGTGAGATCCTGTCTCAAAAAAATAAAAAAGGAAGGAAGGAAGAGAGGATTGATTCAAACTTTGCTTTCTTCTAATAGCTAAATGTAGTCTCTTCCACAGGAGAAGGGAGTGGGGCTTTGCGATGTGCTGTGTAATTTCTACCTAGTATTGCATACTGTATTTCCAGCACTTAGGAAAACTGAGTCAGGTGGATAACTTAGTGAGATCCTGCCTCAACATAAAAAATAAATGTGTGTCCCTGCAGAAGGCTCTGGGGGCTCAATCTCCAATACTGAAAACAAAACAACAGCAACAACAACAACAAAAAATCTTTATTTTTTATTTTAATTTTTTAATAGATTGCAAATTGAAAATAAATTATTTACAAACATAAATGAATATAACAATAAAAATTGTCCAAAATAAAAATGAAGAATTTACAGATCAGTCATAATAGTTCACTGTATCAAAACCAAGCAACTTATATTCATATAATTAGAATTCTCAAAGTGGAAAGGAGTAGGCAATAAATATAAAAAAATCTTTATCTGGGTGTGCTTACATGGATATATTGTATATATAAAAATATATTAAAATATATTGAACAATTCATCAGAATATATGTTTAAGATCAAGGCCGGCCAGATAGCTCAGCAGATAAAAGCTCCTGCCTAGGCAGATGCAGGGGCCAGTTCAGTCCCCAGCATGCCATGGTGCTGACCCCGCCCCTGGGGCACACTGAGACCCCAATTAAGACTGGGTGTGGTGGTGCACGCCTGTAATCTGAGCACTTGGGAGGCTGAAAACAGGAGGATCACTGTCCTTTCCTGTCCTTTTAGTGCTCTTTGCTGAAATCATTCCTTCATGAAAGTATATGATGCGAAAAATACAAATAATAACTGTTCATCTTCTTATCCAGGATGTGTCTAGTCCGAATGAAACAGGAAGGCCGGAGTGGGAAATATATGTGTCGGATCATAGTTCATTTTATGTGGGAAGATGTTGAGCAGCGTGGCAGAGTCATGGGGGTAAGTCCTTTATTATTGATTTATTTTTTGGAAACATGGTCTCATTGTGTAGTTCAAGTTGATCTTGAACTTCACTGTGTGGCCCAGGCTGGCCTCTGACTTGTGATGATCCTCTTGCCCTCCTGCCTCTTGACTCCAAGTGCTGGGATTATAGGCATACACCACCACACCCGATTTGCTATCAGGTACTCCATCTATACAACTGTGATAAAGGACCACCTGATGAATATGGTTTTTCTGCTTTAGAGTACACTTTGCATTTCTGTGAAATGCTGCCTAGTCACTTTTTCTACTTTTGTGGAGACTGACATACCGCAGAATTTTTTTTTTACAAATTATTATGGTTTGTCAGTGTGGTGACATACTGTGTGCAGAAATGGTAAGGGGGGGTGGAATTGGTAAACAGAGAGAATCAAGCATTAATTCAGTTTAAGTACACTTCTGGTACTCATTTAGTGTTTGAGTCTTCCTATAAGTTCTGATGAAAAGATCCTGGTATTGGGCCTATACTGTCTTCAGGAACTGAAAATTAGGCTCCTTGATCACTAGAAAACTTTGGCAAAATACCCACTGAAAATATACATTTAATAGCCTGAGGAAGAATACTCGTATGTCACATGGAATGTGATGACAATAGAAAAATGAAACCAAAACGTTGGAAGTAGGTTACATAAACAGTAATCTCTTCTGTGTATTTGGAATGTCTGGCCCATGTTTTAGTAGCTTGTAGTTCCTAGTTTCCTGTATCATTACCTCCAGTTTGCAAGCATCCAAAGTAGAACCCTCTGGGTCATGAAGTGGATTAATTTGGTTTCTTTTATATCGGAGCAGAACTCTTCTGTAGACTGAGAAATAACTGCAGTTTGTAACTGTGCTAAAAAGTCACACATGTCAGAGAATAAAAACCAAACAGTAGAAAGCATTTAATGTGGAAAAAAGAAACAAGTGTCTTTCGTGGTCTTTTTTTTTTTTTTTTTTTTTTAGATGCAGTTTTTCAATTTTTTTTTTTTTTTTCTCTTTTTTTTTTAAAAATTATTTATTTATTTTCCATAATTTCATTGTCTTTCATGGTCTTAACTCTTAGAAATAACCATTGTTTGTAACTGATGTTTATTTTTCTAGCATTTTCTATACAAATATATAAATGTATATTCTTAAAAATATAGATGACTTATGCCATTTATACTATTCTGAATCTTGACTTTTTTCATATAATATGTATTAGACATATTTTAGCTTTTCTTGTTTGTTTGTTTTTCATTTGATGTGTTTGGTACAGGGTCTCACTACGCAGCTCTGACTCGTGGTGATCCTCCTGTTTTCAGCCTCCCCAGTACTGGGATTACAAGAGTGCACTACCATGCCTGGAGTTGATAGCCTGCTCAGCGTGACCTGGGGACAGGCCAGCATGACATGCATTTAGTAGAATGCATTTAGCATATTTTTTAAACTCAAAATATTTTAACTAAGGTTGAATCCCTTTAATCATTAATCTCAATTCTGGGTATTTTCTCCTTCAAAAAAAAAAAAAAAAA